CCATGTGCTCAAACAGTATATATGCTTTGGGCCCAATGTACCTATATAGGGACTATTTTGAGGCCAAAGCATCTACTATAAAAGTACATGGACCCTTAGGGTGAGTTGTCCAGGACATCATGCCCAGCAACTGGGGCAGCTTGAATAGCTTCACATCAAGCTTGTCACGCCGTGCGCGCTTGTTCGTTCTTGAGGTTCACTAAACTAGGGCCCCAATAAAAGCACATAAGCAGAAATTAGGATAGAGATATCCCATATAAGCCCCCATGAAAGGAAGCCCAATTCAGGTAGGGATACCCCGGTAAAATGCTTATGCTTATGTCCTTTTGGGTCCCTGATAAGCCCTAATCTTTACCTTTGCCCTAGAGCTCGAGCCATGCTTGAATGCTCCCAGTCTTAGATTCGAACCCTTGATAGTCCAGGGAGGGGTTAGGGTGTCGGGGTTTAGGTTTAATTATAACGTAGTGACTGTAAGGAGCTCTAAGCAAGAGTCTTGCTAAGTACGTCTGAGTCTACATACTACTTGTTCAGGCTTCTACACTAAGCACCAAGCCCCAGCTGTTCTTGTAACTATTCCGATAGCTCCTCGAGTTTGACAATCAAGGCACATAGCACAAGCGAGTTTGCTCTTTGGTCTCCGAACACGTGCAGAGCTCGCGGGTAGGACGTCCGTAAGCCATGTGCGAGCATGTTTTCCTGCAGATTCATTTGGCAAGCTGATGCTGGTTCAGGTATGCAGCGTTTCTGTCCTCCCCTTCTGCCTTCTGCGAAGCAAAATGCCCTAAACCCTTTGAGCCCTATATAAACCCTGAAGTTCAGGGTTGTGCATTAGGTCGCAGAACATAAACATGCCTGTTGGGCCCCAGCCACATGGGCGTGAGGGCAAAAAAAATCGCGTGAATGATCAGAAATCGGGCTGGGCTTGGATATGGTAGAAATATACCAAAAAATACATTCTAGTGGTATTACCAATTATGGAGACGACGACGGGATGGACCCAGGGACACCTTCCATTGTTACTGCTCTCGTGCAAGCCCCCAACACTCATGTTTGGAGCGGTATGTTGGTATTGTTTCATACTACTACAGCTGTAGACCCCAAATCCGGAATCATCCATAATCGCGTGGAGCTGCCATGACCGTTTAAGTACGAACGCGGTGCAAGATTTGATTAACCATCAGCCGTAGAACCCCAACCGAAGAGGCTATTGTGTTCACTACAGTAAAGGTGAAGCATGCAGAGATGCATGCGCTGTCTCCGTCAAGAGCTGGTTTAGGGGTTTGTTTGGGGTGTATTATATACGTATATGCGTGTATGTACACACTATATTACATGCACTACATGTTGTCATTTTGTTTGTTAGGGTTTAGAGCTTATTGAGGTTCAGGTTGAGGTTTCTGTTAGCTTCCCAAGTTCTCAGCAATGGTGCTGTTCCGGACAGCTCCCTCGAAACGTAAAGGATGTCCCGAGGACCGTAACACAAGACATCAATACAACCACAGGTTTACTCCGGTGTGGGCAGACTGTGAACTCTCAACATAATCAGGGACAGCCTTTGATAGAGCAAGCACGATGGTACCTTGATCCTTAAACACTACTCAATAGCGTACCAAGCGGGCTGGCAACCAACACATAATCACAATAACAATAATGGTCATTGTAATACCAATAATAATGGTAGTATAGATCATGTTACATAATAACAATAATGACCGTAGTAGTACCAATAGTAATGGTAGTAATGATAGCATTAATTAGTCGTAGCAAACTACGCAAGCACAGCCAGGTCTGGAGTCACCCCAGAGGAGTACGACCGAATCATGGAGATCGTCGCACAGTCCGGCTTTGATGTGCGCGGACAACAGTACAGAGAGTACCTGCAGGCGGGGCTTAGTGTTTGGTCTTATCTTCCAAAACCCATTAACAAAGCTATCTGCCTCAAATCAAAATCCATAAATCATTAGTCAAGGACTCTACCCTGAATCATCGCAGCTGTCATTTGATCCGGGCACCCCCCTGCGATGGTGCATTGGAGCACAGGAACTGTGTCATGGCCCATGGGTCCATGCACTCATATAGTATAGACTTGGGCCTTCATGCAGTCCTTATTAAGGTATTGTAGGGCCAGGTATATACTATATCGGCACATGGACCCTTAGGGGGCTCGGCGTTCAAACTCCGAATAAAGCCAAAAGGCACGACGTTGTCCGTGTTTTGAACGCGACGTTCACAAGCCACTCCTGACATCTCGGTCAATAAACGACATCCAGCGTCTTCACACCGAAAACTTAAGCCCCACACCAATTGCCAAGTGAAGCAGTGTAGGTGTTAGGGTCTGGGCCCCTTGATTACCAACTTTCAAGCACGAAACCCAACGAACGCTTCAGGGGGCTACAAGCAAAACCTAAGATTGCATAGTGACTGCTGGTGATCAACAGTTGTGTCTCTGGAGATTGGGGAATTTAAGCTTTTTGGCTTCGGGTGTTGGGTTTTGTTGGGGGAGGCAGTGCTTTATTTAAGTGCCCATTGAAAAGCTATTTGGGAGTTGCCGAAAATTAGGGGTATCCCCATTTTGGGGTCCTTATAACAAGGATCCTACTGTTTAGGGTACTATATTATTAGGGTACCCTATTTTCGGAAACTCCCATTTGTCTAAAGCCACGACGTAACGTCTCACTCAAACTCCTAAAAGTAGCGCTAAGCATGCCCTATAACACCTGACTGTAAAAGCCTGCACCCACATACCCCCAAGCCCTAAGCCCTGAACACTAAGCCATACTACACCCTAAACCCCTTATGGCAACCCTTACAGAAAAGTAGAACAACAGTTTACACACATAGAGGCCTAAATGAATACCAACACCATTGTGGGGGGGGGGTCCTTCTTATAATTATGGCAAAATGGGCCCCAAAACCCCATTCTAATTATTACAAGGCCCCTATATTACCCCTTTTAGAACACCCAAACATCGAACCGGAGCTGGAAAGGCCAGAATGGCAGATGCCGGCCGAGCAGCTGCTGAGCCGTCATTTTGGCTCCTGATGGTCGTGCTGTTCGGCACCCAGCTGGTTGGTACAGCAGTAGTGGCGGAAGTAGCAGTAGTAGTAAGTAATAGCCGCAGCAGCAGGAGTAGTAGTATTAGTAGTGCTGGTACCAGTACTAGTGGCTGTGGTAGTGGTAGTGAGGTAGTGGCAGTGGCAGTGGCAGTGGAAGGGTCGTGGTCGTGGTCGTGGTCGTGGTCGTGGTCGTGGTCGTGGTCGTGGTCGTGGTGGTGGTGGTGGTGGTGGTGGTGGTGGTGGTGGTGGTGGTGTGGCAGTGGTGGCAGTGGTGGCAGTAGTGGCAGTAGTGGCAGTGGCAGCAGTAGCAGTAGTAGTAGCAGTAGTTGTAGTAGTAGTAGTAGTAGTAGTAGTAGTAGTAGTAGTAGTAGTAGTAGTAGTAGTAGTAGTAGTAGTAGTAGTAGTAGTAGTAGTAGTGTAGTAGATTAGTAGCAGCAGCAGCAGCAGCAGGAGCACGAGCAGGAGCAGGAGCAGGAGCAGGAGCAGGAGCAGTAGTAGTAGTAGTAGTAGTAGTAGTAGTAGTAGTAGTAGTAGTAGTAGTAGTAGTAGTAGTAGTAGGAGTCGGATCAGGACTATGAGTCGGACTAGGAGAATGCTGCCATTTCATGCAGCGGCATCTGGTTGGTTTTCTGATGGCAAAAGTGCAAAAGTGTAGACCGGCACCCTGCACCACAAATTCGCAGCCTCAAGCTGAAGTTGCTTGTGAGGATTAGAGAAGTTCTGCCCTAAAACCCCAATCTGAATCCCTTTGGCTTCCGGTTTCCGGTTTTAGGCTCAGGATCACAAGGGCTTGTGGTTTTAGTGGGTCTGGGGATTTGAGTTCAGGCCCTTACCGAAAAAGAGGGTCTAGGGCCCTGCGTTCATGCAGGCTCGCTGGAAATGCGAAGTGCTGCGAGAAGTACTCCAGTCAAAGTTAGCTACCATACTCGCAATGCCAGCTCAGGTAGAAATCCCGGCCCACCCTGTTCACACTGTCACTGAATCACATGCAAAGTCATACCAATACACAACCCTACAACCCTACAAAGAAGGCACAAACGACAACATGATAGAAACACACCCAGGATCTACTATGCGACGGTTATCCTCCGAGCGCTTTTCGCGCTGGGCACTCGGAAGACTCCTGTGTCAGTCAACCTGCCCTTGTTTGAGTCATCACCACTATAGGGCTTAGGGTTTCCTTACCCAAAGGGTCCTATGTTCTGTTATGGGAGATACTTCCCTATGTCATAATAGTATATAATTCCTAATATGGAAACCCTACATTCTACTATATCGGTACATAGGACCCTTTGGGTTATGATCGGTGCAGTAAGTTGCAGTCCTAGTGCCAGATGTCACTGTCGCCGGGAAGTTGAAGTAGTGTGGTTGTCGTCGTCGTTGTTGTTGCACTAGTACCCCGACCGGTACCTGTACGAGTACACGTAGTACTAGTGCTGCTGGCCACAGTGGCGAAAAGAAAGGCAAGAATACGAACAAACGCAACAGGCGTCATCTTCAAAATGGCGATTTCAACATGAACGCCTGCAACGGCGACAGTAATGAATGCTATTTATTCATTTTGGGATTCATATTACTTATGTATATAATATATATATATATATATATATATATATATATATACCGCCGTAGTAATCACAAGAAGAGCTATGCTATAGCGATCGAGAGATTCCGATGCGAGTAGTAAAAAGAAGGCCATCAGCAGGATGCACATGTATGAGGCTGTAGGGGTCCTGTGTGAAGGTTTCTGCGCCAAACCTGGTCCGCTGAAGCTGCGGGAGGGCGGGGGCGGGGCTGAAGGAGCTAGTTAGTTTTGTGGTTAGAAGTTTGCAGGTTTCGGGCTGAGGGATTTGAGCGAACACCACCACCACAAGTCAAGTCACAGACACCTTAAGTCTTCATCCTGAAATATGACAAGCCCAGAAAGAAGGCAAGGCTAGTTCGTTTTGCAGGGTCCTGCCTGTTTGTTTGTTTGTTTGCTTGCTTGTTTGTTTGTGTTTTGCGTTGGCAGCTTGTCCACAAAGCCCTCACCCCCTCAAGCCTTTGAACCATCAAAAGACTGTTCAAGACATAATACAGGGACCTAAATAATTGTGTCACACCCTATTCTAATTATTAAGGCCCCTACATTAAGCCCTCAGCCCGGAACGATTGCAGACAGAGCTCACGACCGAGGGGGAGGTTCGTTCCCAAATCCTGGGGCCTTAATAATTAGAATAATGTCTTGGAATTATGGCAAGGAACCCCCCAAAATAGTGTAGGTAAGTACTTAGGCCTTAGGCCCCATATTATAGTACCCTTATATGAGTGCCTGATTGGTGGTGGGAGGACCCTATCAACAAAAGCTTAGAAACGAGTACTGAGTACTCTAACTTTGTGTTGGGGGGCATTGCCATTTCTTATACTGTTACTATTTATTTCTGATGCTAGGGCTGATCCGCAACCTCCCCCAAAAGCAGTCGACATTGTTCAGTCACCTGTCTCAGGCCGTTACATTATAAGACCCAGTGAAACCTTTAAACACGCACTCTTCGAGCCCTGTTGAGGATTGAACGTTTTCGCGTCCATTTCAAAGTGCAAGCCCTTCGCAATAAACTAGACTATGGTTTTAAAAAGGAGCCCCCCAAAACCCTGTTCCAATTATTGAGGCCCCTACATGATATCACACACCCTCACTCGTTTGGATTCCTCATCTTCAGTCGTTTGCACAGCTGTACGCTGAGGCCTTGCATCGGAAATCGCTTGAACTCGCTGCCACTGGCCCGAATTAGACGAGCTTGTTTCATTTTGGTGGGTCGTAAGTAAGCTAAGTCGTACACCCTAGACCTTCAAGCAGACATGAAATAAAGGCTCATAAGGCCTTTTAAAAACCGTCAAAGTCTTGTCCAAAGATTTCGAAACCCTTGGCCCTAAACATCTCGACCCTAACGTCGTTACTCTCAAAGCTTGCTTGCCGAAGCTTCGGAATGGATAGAGGGCCACAGTTTGGGGTTTAGGGCTTAGGGTTTAAGTTTAGGGCTTAGGGTTCAGGGCTCAGGGTTTCGAACCAAAATTCCACAGACCCATCGAAGCCTCACTTTTGCTTTTGGAAGGTTACAGGGTTTTGAGTTGAGGTTTAAGGATTCGAATCTAATCTCACCCGTACATAGCGACAGTATGGCATGAGTTTAAACCTTCTGTGTCAGGCCACTTTGATTTTCTTAGAACCGTGCAAAGCTTACAGCATACCAAGCCCGTAAAGCGCCATACTTCAATATTCCCGGAGGCTCCGAAACCCCTTATAGTCGCAGACTACATGGGGGTTTCCGAAAACAGGGACCCTAATATAGTACCCTAAATAGTAGGATCCTTCTTATAAGGACCCCAAAATACGGTACCCATAATTTTCGGAAACCCTCACATGAGAAATCATCATAAGGATACCCCTTCTTATCGCCCTCAACTTTTGGCGGAGCCCCTTCTGGGAGGTTGGGGTTCAGGTTTAGGGTTTAGGGTGTTAGGGTTTGGGGTTTAGGGTTTAGGGTTTGGGGTTTAGGGTTTAGGGTTTAGGGTTTGGGGTTTAGGGTTTAGGGTTTAGGGTTTGGGGTTTGGGGTGTAGGGTTTAGGGTGTTATCGGGTGATACAAGGCATCTATGAAGCCAGCGCCAAGTTTATCAGAGGCTCAGAAGACCTTCTGCACTTCTGGGCCTCGTGCAACATGGGTTCGTTCTTGCTTGCACAGACTAGGTTCCCCAGTAGTACCCTTTTGCCCTTTTACTTTTGGGGTCCCCGCATTAGAACCGAATATTAGGAGAAAGGGGCCCGTAATTATCGGGAACCTAGGTTTTACTGTGCTTCTTGAGGCTTGGGATCCCAAATGGGAGTTTCCGAAAATCAGGGTACCTGATTTTGGGGCCCTTATAATAAGATCTTACTGTTAAGGGTACCATATTCGGGTCCTTTATGTTAAAGTAGGGCTAAGGGTTTAGGGTTTTAGGGGGGGCGAAATAATTGCAATTACTATTGCATATTCAGGGCGTGGAGTCAATACAAGGGCATTTAAGAATTACCAGTACTGCATGCCTCAGCCTTCCCTATTACCGACATACTGTATTACACCCCCAGACCTATACTCAACCCTTATACAAAGCCCTTGAAAAGGGATGCCTTGTAAGAAACCCTATGCCAGATTATCAAGGGCCCTACATTAGGGCCTGGGGTTTGGGACTCATTTGCTGAAGATCTTCACCACAAGGACCCCCAAGCTAGGGTTTAGGGTTCAAGGGGCCAGAAGGGTTTGGGAGTTGGCGTTTAAGTCCTTAGGGGTTTGGGTTTGGGGTTTGAGGTTTAAGACCTTAGGGGCTAAAGTTTAGGGTTTAGGAAGGACCCCAAGCAGGATACCTCTAGTGGTCCCTATGCCAGGTTCCCTGGTCTCATGCAAACCCTGAACCCCAAACCCTCAACCCTACACTAAGCCCTTGTAGTAGCCCTTCAAAACGGAACCCGTATGAGAGCAATCCAAAACATCCCCTAAACCCTAGACCCTCAACCTTAATGGCCTTAATGCATCCTACATAACGAGGCAGGAACTTGGGGAAGCCAGCGATAGACTCCAGGCTTTTGATCCCACCTATCCAGACTGCGATGAAACTCAGGTTTCAGGGCTAAGTGAAGGGAGTTTAGGGAAGCTGTTCGAGTGCCGCTGTTTCTTCGCAGGCCTCTCAACTGTAAAACCGCCCCCTCCCGCAAAACGAAAGTGCACCATAGACACCAACGCCCGAAACTCTAAATCCGCAACCTAAACCCCACAGCCAAGGGGGGAGACCGTCCTCAAGGCCTTGCTGATTTACGTGGAGTTGTAGCGACTTAAGATGCTTAACCTTAGGAACCCTTTAGAGTTTAGAGTTGACTTTGTCATTTTTGGCCGCAGGGCGTTACAGGTGAGGTTGCATTTCTGTGGCCACTTAGGATGTAGTCCCGAAGCCAAAGCGTCTTTGCCTGCATACTGCTAGGGTTTACGGGCTCTGGGCTTCCATTTTTACGCTCTGGGCTTCGATCGAGGGCAGTTTCGGCGGTTAATGTCTGAAAAGAGCTTAGCCCAGAACCTCACATCCCTTTTTAGTTAGACACCTGATTGAATCCCGATAGTGCCCACCCTTTGGCCTGTGAAGGCATTGTCAAGCCCTTACGAGACTTCGTGACAGGGACTGGGGATCATCCGAGATGCGGAACAAGAAACCGTGACACTGACCGATGCGAGAGCCGGGGTCCCAGGTAGAAAGATCCGACAACGAAGCGGGTAGGGCTCATACGGTTGATGATATAAATCCTGCATTGCCCATAATAAGGAATATACCATAATTCCCATAGTTTAGGGTCCTTAAGGTAATGCACGATTTATATCATCAACCGTAGTGTTTTACAGGATATGGGGTTACATAGGGCTCAGAGTAGGGCGTTCAAGGCTTTTGCTGTGCTTGTTGTTTGCCAAGCTTTCAGTATTGACTCGGGCTGATGCAAGTTTCAAGAAAGCAACTTCGGTGCAGTTTCTAAGATTTGGGATGAAGTTCCGGTTTCAAACCTCAGAAAACCATGTTGAAGAAAACGCACCGTATGCTCTAGGCCAAGAGATAATTTCAGCGCCTTGATCCGATTCCTTGATCTGTGGCCCCAATCGTGCTGGATCATGGTGCCCTTCCTGAACCTTAAACACCACAATCGCTAGAGCCTACGCCTGTTTGTAATACGGTGTATCATGCATTCCTTCATCCCATACGCAGGACCAAAGCTATTCCTTTGGGCTTTTCAGGATTTAGGCTGCTTCGTTTTTTCGAAGGCCTTGGGCGTTGGGGTTCGGCTTGTATCAAGGCTGAATGGTTTGGGTAGCATTCGGGCCTGAATGATTTAACAAGGTTTGGGCATGTTATAGTCAGCTAACAACATCATGCAGAATGATTTTGACAGGGTTTGGGCATACTGTAGTTAGCTAACAACATTATGCAACATGTGAGGGGATGCGGTTGATGATATAGGTCCTGCATTACCTTAAGGACCCTAAATTATGGGAGTCACGGTACAGTCCCTATTATGGTAATGCAGGATTTAGATCATCAACGGTATCATTACAAATCATACCGACCCCGAAAACGGGGCGGGCAGCTTTCGGGGCTTCATAAATGGAGTTGCATTGTTTTATCAGTTTAATATAGGTGTCTCTTAAACAGCTACCAGCACTACTTTGGGGGCTCCTTATTATAATTGTCGTAAGAAGGGCCCCAAAATCGTATGTTGATTATTAAGGCCCCTATGTTACGGTCTTCTTAACTATGTCTCACAGTGGGCCCTTTTTCACTTTTTTGTGGTCTTGGGTTCCTTAGCCACCCTAACCCTAAACCCAAGGACTTTCAATTCCCAGGTTGCTGAGGATTAGTCAAAGGTGGGAAGCTTCCTGCAGCGTCCCGCGAACTTTTCTGCGCGAGCCTTCAGAACAGGAAGAGCCTCAATGGTACTGGGATTAGGATTTTTGGAATACGACTCTGTTGCCCTAAACCCTAAACCCTAATGCGCAAACGACCCCATCAACACAGATGCCTTTAAGCCGCAAATCCCTGAGAAGCGCCTTGGTCCTCGCAAGGAAAGAGGGGACATCAAGAACTTGCTCTCCTACAGGCCCAGGGTTTAGGAGTTTAGGGGATTAAGATTTTTATGAAAAGGTTTAAGGGTCCAGGGGTTTAGGGTTTAAGTTCAGGGTTTTCGGTGCCCCCACCTGTGCTCTGCATGCAGGCTTTCAGGCCAAAGGAGAAACCGTCCCTGGGGGATCGAGGTATTTGGTGCGTGTAAGTCCAACTTATGACCCGAGTGTTTGGGGTTTGGGAGTTGAGCTCAGGGTTCAGGGCTTTTCAGGGTAGTGTTTGAATCCACAGTCCTTGCTGATTGAGGGCTGAGGGCCTAGCGTAGACCGCTGATGAACAACCTCCGCTGTACGTTTTAAATTTTAATGCGATGTTGAATAGAGATCCGATCAAGGCTTTTGACCCACTACTGTACCCCAGCTCCCTCCCCCACTGCCCGGACCCCCTACAGCCCAAACACACAGAGAAGGGAGCACTGGTCTACATTAGGGTGTGGAGATAATGCGGTGCATCTCAAATCCAAGTTTTTGGCCAGAATCGAGCTAAGGAGTAGCTGTTCTTGATTTTTTGGGGTTTACTGTGCACAGTTTTGGGGTTTGGGATGTTTGTATATTGGGGTTGAGCGTGCATAGGGTTCAGGGTTAGGTTTCGAAGGACGTGTACTGTGAAATCAGTGTAATCTCGCCTGAGGCTGTGGCGCTTTGTTTGGAACTGCAACTTGCATCAGCCATGCACGATGGCCTTCACCCGAACTCGAACCCCAAACCCCAAACCCTAAACCCTAAGCTACTAGGATGCCCAGTAGTACCCTTATTCCCTTTTTGTAGTCCTAGGTTCCTTAAAAATTTACCCAATACCAAAAAGAGAGGCCTCATTATTCTTAGGTGACGGGGTTTCCTACACCCTAAACCCTAAACCCTAAGGCCCTAAGCTATGGCTTCTGCAAAACAGCCTACAGCCATCGATCTTGGGACCCGGCACCGCTGCTACTGGCCCACTGGAAATAGAGTTGTGAAATCAGGGTTTAGGGTTTAGGGTTTAGGGGTTTAGGGTTTATAGGGGTTTAGGGTTTAGGGGTTTAGGGTTTATAGGGGTTTAGGGTTGAGGGCTTGCGGTTTGGGGCTTCTGGGATTGAGGTTCGGCTTTGGGGAATGTCGAGTCTCCAACAGCTAGTGCCTTTGCTTGACACCCAATAAAAGTAGCTCCTTATGTACCCTTGAGGAATATTACATTATGTGAAGGTTTATAGTACTATCTTACGAATATTCACTCATTGCCGTTTATGAGCTCTCTGGGTAGTAGCCAATGAGAGTATTTGGAGGGACATGGGACGTGGGGGTTAGCCTGCTCCGGTGACATTTATACTTCAAACTTCACTACATACATATAACACCCTACCTATTGTAACCCTGAACCCCACACGGCCCTCACCCTACCTATGACTTTATAAACCCGAAAACCAACTTCCCCTAAGCCCGAAACCCAACCTCATCTGAAATCCTAGAGTACTTTCATGCCCTTTCAACCCTAACCGTAACGTAACGAGCTTTGATTGCCGCGCATCGTGTGTGAATGCAAAACAAAGCGGTGCCAGGCACAATAGCGGCTATGCGACCCCGTTTGTTCCATCGGTTATGCAGTTCCATGTCTCCCGCTTGTGAGGAAGCTTTGGGCACGGCCAGTGCTTCCAGCAGTAGTGCTTCCAACCGCCAACGGCAGCACTGCGGATGCGAAAGGTGTGGACATTCTTGGGACTTTATCCACAACAACGGCATTGCCCAAGGATTGTGCCACTCTACGTGCACCCTGGTTGTTTCCAAGCAGTGAAGAGTATAGGCGCTCGGCACGGCCAGTCGGAGCTATTGCTTGGTGTGAAATATCAAATTACCTGCCGGGTGAAAAACATTGTGGTCAGTGGCGAACCAGAAAAGTTGACTCTGTTCCTCCAGCAGCATATGCAAAGCCAAGGCGAACAATTGGTGCTGGGATACTTCCCTGCAACTCTGCATTCTGTGTTTCTTTCTTTCCTGGAGGCCCTATAGGCAATGAACCTACATACACATGTACTGGGCTTTGGAGTATCATACTTTAACACTTTTTTCTTGAAGGAACCATCATGAAATAAAAGTTTATGTTTTTCTCAGTGGTTACTTGAAAGCCCAGTGTATACATATATATGTATATACACATGCATGCATGCATACATACAATCATGCAGAATGCGCACTTACTTTGACAAGGAACCGAATCCATGAAAGGATGTCGGAGAACCCGAACTACGAGGAGGCTGTCCTGGCTCTGAAATTTGACCCGGACGCCGGCGACAAGGAGGCCAAGGGGTTGAGGAGTTTAGGGTTCATCAGGTGTCTATTGGGTTTATGCGGTTTATAATAGAAGGTGATCATTGTTTTGGATGTAGGCTTTGTCACTATGGCATAGGACGCCTTCTCAGAAGTGTCGGCTTAGGATATGCAAGGCAAAGGGTATCGATTTCAGGCTTAAGGGTACCATGATTTGAGTTAGGGCTATTGGTTTTGGGGGGTCAAGATGCGGGGGTGTAGAGATTGAATGTGTTTGGTGCTAGCAAAAGCTATGCTGTTGCATGTCTCGAGACCAAAAGCGTTAGAGAATGAGAGATGTCAGTCCAGGTTCAGGTGCAGGGGCCTTGACATTTACCCCAAACCCTGACCCTGACCGAAGCCGTAATTGTGAGCACGTCCATCCTAAACGCCAAAAGAGTTGAATACCATAATAAAGGAGCCTAGATAGTTAATAATTACCACTATTATTCCTGAGGGTGCCTTATTATGAATATAGTATAACACACCAACCCTATACTAATTATCCTTATTCTAAGATTCAGGCCCCTGTGTTTGGGGCTAGCAAAAGCATCCCCTTAAAGTCCACATGAGGCTGTGCTTTTACATGTCCCGAGACCAAACCCGTTAAAGGAGGAGAGATGTCAGTTCAGGCTCAGGTGCAGGACCACTACACCGGACCGAAGCCCCAATTTTGAGCACCTCCATCCTGAACGCCGTAATCTTTGAACACCCTAGTAAAGGGGCCTACATAATTACCAATACTATTCCTGATGGTGCCTTATTATGACATACTAGAACGCACCAACCCTATTCTAAATATGCAGGCCCCTATATTTAACCGCAAGCTCTCATTTTTGGCATTGCGATGGCTGGGCAGGCAAAGGATACCAGAAAGTCCCAGAAGGGCGTCTCTTTCACATCGCCAGGTCCTGAGTTAAGGTTTTAGGGTTTGAGAAGTTTGGCTTCAGGGGTTTGAGGATTTCTTGTTTAGGGTTTTAAGGAATTGGGGGGTTTAAGATTTTCAGGGTCCAGGCTATTCTGTTTTTCGGGTTTTGGGCTTTGGAGTCTTACAGTTGTCGAGTCCAGGGTCTCAGGTTTCCAAATGCCATAATCAGTTTGGATGGAAGGGTTCTGGGGTTCAAGGGCTACTAGAAGGGTGTCGAAAGACTCTACACCGCCTCCGCTTGACAGCCTCGGATGTTGCAAACACCCGCAAGAGGAGGGGTCTAACAGCTCTGTGACTTAGATTTTGCAATTGTTCGGGAATGGAATCTAAAAATGAGGTCAATGCTATTATTATCCCAAGACTCCAGAACCCCTTAGTTACTTGTAGGCTCATGCCCAGTCCCTGTCTTAGGGTATCTACTTCACTATACAACATGTCCTACTCATACAACTAGATATCCTGCAAAAGTGGTAGGGTACGAGCCTCCGGGTATACAGTACAGTAATATAATACATCGAATATGGTCTTTTGAGGCTTAAGGGAATCTGCTGGATATTCCACAGGGATCCTTCGCATGGTCTAAGGTAGTTAGTTATGTGCCTTGTTGTTTTGATTTTGGAGTCTCTGTGTGTTTCAAGACTTTACTGTCGATAGCAAGGATACCAGGACTGGAAGAACATACTCTAGGGGCCTATATAATTTCCGATTCTATTGTCGGGTACCTATAGTTATTATAGCATATTTTACCCCGAAACCCTATTTGAGGCCTCTGTATCACACGCTGCTTTCAGTATCACGGAACCGAAGTTGTGATCAGATCAGGCGCCTGTGTATCGTTGTTTCTGCATCTTCAACCAAATTCGAGATGTGTTGTATAGTTTAACTTCTTCATGTTGCAATGTAACTAGTCGAAACGAGATGAAGGAGGCATACCAAAACTTAGCTAGAAGACAAAGGAAGCGCAACACTTAGGGACAGGAGATCTGTGTAAACCAAGCTCCTGCTCAGTTCATCCACGGAGATCTCATTCAGTTCAACCACCCTTATTATGGGGTCCTTACAATAAATCCTACAGTTTAGGGTACTATATTAGGGTCACGCTCCCGCTCTTTTCATCCACGGCCGGGCTTTATACCTTTGGTTAGTAGGGAATGGATGAATGGCAGTAATAGGAGTTATAATTGTACCCCATTCCTCCATTCCCTACTAACCAAAGGTAAGGCTTCATATCCCATGGTTCCGGTTCGGCCCTCTGCTCTGGGTCTGGGGTCGAAGGGGTTAAATTTAGCATGCATCTGCAACCCTCAACCATGAATTAGGGTTTAGGAATTTAGGGTTTAGGGTTAGGGTGAAGCTGTGATTTTCCAAACCGCTGAGGATGGAGGAGGGTCTGGAGCGTGCTGTGGAGAAGCAGGTGCACGCAGCGGAGGCAAGCAAGATCAAGCCGGGGCTTTGTGTTTAGGGTTCAGTGTTAAGGCTTACAGTTCAAGGTTTAGGGCTTAAGGTCTGGGGTTTAGGGCCGTTGTTGCTCTTGCAGGAAAAGTTAACAGTTAGTTAAGGCCCTCTTGTCTTAATCATCCTCCAAGGTTGTGATAGTTAGTTCTTTGACTAGGTTCCTGAGTAGTACCCTTTTGCCCTTTTCCTTTTAGGGTCCCCCTATTGGAACCTTATAGTAGGAAAAAGGGTACCCTTATTATAAAGGGGCTACTCAGGAACCTCGTTGATAATCTTAATGCAAGGCACGCGAGGGTGCCAGACTTTAAGAACTATCCCGGCTTCTCGAGCATGGTAGACTGCATAAAGTCATATAGGGACAGACTAGAACACAGGTGGGGTACGTGTGGACTGACACACACACACACACACACACATGTATTTTACAGTGAGTTTGCTTGTAGTGGAGATGTTAGTAACATACACAAAAGTCTGTGGGAATATACTCCCATAGCGAGAAGATATGAGTCGTTATCCAGGAACCATGCGGAGCGAAGGTGCATTCTGCAGCGACGAGCATCATGTCACATATCGTATACAGTATTCGGCATGCACCGGCTATTTCATTCAGCCAGTAGGACACTGTGTGACCTTTGCTTTTCTGAAAGCCAACCCCCCTGCAAACTCCGAACTGACAAAACCTTCAGCTGAAATCCCGTGAAGCCGAACACTGAAGCCACCATCCGTCGCTGACGCAGAACCTTTTTTCTTCGGCCATCCAAGGGTGCGGCTCTCAGTGAGGGGATCCCGCGAGTTGATACTTAGGTTCATGGGGCTTAGTAACTACGGTTATAATTAAGGTAGCTATACTTATAACTAGTTATTCCCCCAGTTAAGGTACTTATGACTGTACTTCCTAAGTCCGATGAACCTTCAAGTAGACCCTAAACCCTAAACCCTATAGATTCCTTTAAGGAACCCTATAGATCCCTTTAAGGAGCCTTTTAAGCAAGCTTCTACGCTCGGGTTTGACGGGCTCAAGGGTTTGCAGTTTGACGGCTTCAGGAGCAAGGCCTTACCTGCATCTCTTAACGGTTTAGGGTTTAGGGCCCTAAACCCTAAACCCTAAACCTTGGCGTTCTTCTGGCTGGCACTTTAGACTTTAACTTTTTGGGTTTCTATATAAAATATCATAAGGAGGCTAAAAGTTTAACTTTTAGGAGGGGTTCAGAAGTCAGCCAAGAAACAGTAGGGATGCCTTCTTACGCCTAAACAGTAGGTTCTCGGATCAGATAGAGGTTTAGATGTGTAGAGATTGGCTTGACGCTGCAGGATTCATTGTACGATGGGGGACGGACAATTAGTAATCGTATTCCTTCGGTCCTCTTATGCTTAAAAGTTTACTTTAGCTTCTGTCGGGGCTTTTTGGGTTTACGGTTTAGCTGCACTGGTTTGGGTAGCTGGGCGCACCTCCACCTAGGTAGACCTTCCTTCCACAGAGCTCTGTGAATGGAGCCGCACTAATGCGATCAACGCAGAATGTTGCTGTGACGTCCAAATGACACGATGATCAAAACAGGCATCAAGGCACATCACAGGAGTAAGTAGTGAATGCAGGATATATATCATCAACCGTAGGGAAAGCCCTTGGAAAGTTCCCACACACCCAAGGATATTGAGAGAGCTCTCCCACACCGCCACCAAAAAGCCTGACACCCGTCAAACCTAAGTCTACAGTCTCCTGAGGAATTATTTTGATGTTTGCTCATTTAAACCCCAGGAGAAGTTTAAAAAATATGTGTTTACTATCGTTCTCAGGGTGGGTATAGAATTCCGCAACTCAGGATTAAGGCTGAAGCTCCAGAACCATAATCAGAAGCCATTCTCACACCTCTAAGGTTAGGGGTTTAGGGTTTAGGGTTTAGGGGTTTAGGGTTTAGGGTTTAGGTTAGAAGTCTGGACCCCCTAATACGGACCCTTAGGCCTTTTTGAGGGAGTTCTAGGGACCCTTTAAGAGTTTATATAGGGTATATAGTATGTATTTAGGGATCCCAGGGTTAAGGGCCCATACTAGGGGCCCATGGTTTCAACCGTTGAACACATCAACCCCAAACTACTAACTACCTGTGGGCTCATACCCAACCCCTTGTTTAGGGCATTTACTTTTCTTTATAACCGACCCTAACCATAAAGCTAGGTATCTTAACAAGGGGCAGGGGTATGAGCCTCTAGGTAGTCCCATGGAACCACAAGCCTTATAGAGATGGGTTTAGGGTTTAGGGTTTTAGGGTTTAGGTTTAGGATACAGACAGGCAGCTCGGGTAGAAGGCTTCTAGTCTGACAGTGGTTGCTACATGGGTGGTTGTCAAAATTATGGTCCCTTTTTGAGTCCTTATTATAATACGGCACCCAATATTTAGGGTACCCACAAAGGGACCATAATTTTGACAACCACCCATGTAACGGCCTCAATGTTTTGCATAGTGTTTCGGGGTACCTTGCACTATACTTACTATAAGGAACCCCCCGAAAATAGTACAGGTAGTTGTGTAGGCTTCTACATTACAACAGTATTTAATCAACCTTTGAGCAAAAGAATCTAGACGCCCACACCGAACGTGTTTTAGGATGGACAGTTGATATGACCCACGCTGCGCCCAACCTAAACTCGAATGCTTGATATCTTAAACCCTAAACCCTGATTCAGGGCTTCCAAAGTCCAACTCTATCCAACACCCCTGTCAATCCTGAACTGAACCGTAAGTCCCTGGGCCCTGAACCCTAAACCCTAAGACCTTTCAGAACTTTGCAAAGCCAGGTTGAAAGCGCCGAGCTCAGTTGTCCGTCGAGCAGCTCCTTCCTTCAGGGTTCCATGAAGGTTTTACATTGGGTATACTGGATTCCAACGGTTTTGTTAAAGAGGTTCGTAGAGATCAAAACATGGGGCTCTTTGGGTTTTGGGCGCCAGCTGCCATGTTGGAGAAAACGTTTTTGCTTGATCGGGGCCTGGTTTCAGGTTTTGTTGCGAGCTTTGCACGATCTCGTGGGGGTCAGCTTAGGGGTAGTTATTCATTGTTGTTTAGGGTTAATGTTGGGCTTGCGGCTTAAGCTTCAGAAGACCAGCGCCAGCTCAAGGCGCCTATACCCTAAGGACCTAAAGCCTGAGCCTGAACCTCTGAACTCCTAAAACTCCCTAAGCCCCAAACCCTGGCTCTAAAGGGTTCGTAAGGGGGTTGGTTTTCGACATGCAAGGCTGGGCTTCGGTTGCATGCATCTAATGGAGGGGCCTATAGCCTATAACAATAGCTTGAACGGGGTCTTGGGGTGCATTATACCGGGGCTTCGGGTTTGGGTAATCGCAAGAATAGTATCGATGATTATGCAGAGGAGAAGAAGTGCCACTTGGAGAATAGAGGAGCAAGAAGGAAGATAAGTGGGCGGGCATGAATTCTTTACCAGCGAGCGGCAGTGCAAGAGCGGAAGGCGCTGGCCAGGAGGAGGAGGAGGAGGAGGAGGAGGAGGGTGGTGGAGACACAGCCACTATACTTTCAAGTTCCAGCAACCAAGCAGCGACAAGCAAGCAAGCATGGCAGGCCTCGGCACCATTGTGCATGCTCGAGCCGAGCTTGCAAGCTGTCCAGAGTTCGACGGCCACTTTCTAATATTTGCAAGAGCAGTGTTGGAAATAACCATGGTAATCAATGCGGTAAGGAAAAACAGAATCTTCGCCACATCTGTGGTTTAGCGGGCAAGCGCCCGGCCGCTCACGCCACAGGTCCCTGGCTCGAACCCCGGTGGTGTCATGAGAGTCCGCTTTGCACTGGCTTGTGAGCATTCATTACCGTGCAGCCATTCCTCTCGAACCCTCAGCGATCACACGCAGCCGCCGCTCATCCACCATGGCAGGGCTCGGTGCATGGTCCGTGCCAGAGCCGAACTGGCCAGTTGGCCACAGTTCGCCGGCCATCTCGAGGCGGAGGAGGCGCTGGTGGACGCAGGGAAAGAAGCCCGCAAGGCCAGCCAAGGCCCAAGAGGACTCCGTAGGAGGAAAGGGAGAAGAAGCAGCGCCAGCGGGCCAAGCGGGCAGAGAAGTGGCCAGCGGAGATCGCTGCACGGAGGGAGCCGGAGGCCAAGCCAGGGCGGCGGAGACGGGAGACGAGGAAGACGAAGAAGGCGGTGGGCGCCATGAACCCCAATGACAAGGCGGCGGTGCAAGAGACGAAGGCGGCGGCTAGGAGAAGGTGGAAGAGGAGGGTGATGCAGAACGCCGCAAGAAAGGGGCGGCAGGAGTGGAGCACTCGGCGGTGGTAGAGTTAGAACCCCTGCACACCATTGTGGCCACACTGCGGGAGGGGACGAATTATTTCTATTTCTTGTGGTCTTGCTTTGTTTCTGTCTCTTTCTTTTTTGCTTGCTCTGTCTCTGTCTCTTTCCTTTTCTCTTTATCTTTCCCTTTTGCTTTCGCTTTCCCTTTCTCTTTCCCGTTCTCGTTCTCTTTCTGTTTCTCGTTCTCTTTCTGTTTGTTTTTCTCGTTCTCTTTCTTTTGCTCGTTCTCTGTCTCTTTCTCCTGCTCTAGCTCTGTCTCTTTCTCTTTGACGGCTTATAGTGCCGAAGTTTACATGCGGCCCGTTGCCAGCCCTGCGCAGCTTCAGTGACGACCCGAGCCAGTTCGCCTAAGGTTCGATAAAAACCCTACATCCGTGGTCTTGTTTCCCGGACCCTATTTCGGAGTTGCTGTGGGTCCGTCCGTGCCGGCTTGGTCTTGAGGTCTTCCTGCTCGGTTTGAGTTTCGCTTCTAAGCCTTCATGTTGTCCTCTTTGGGATGCTGGGTGTGGTTTATGATTGTTCGGTTCAGGGCCCTGAGTTGCCGTTCTGATGGATCGGCCCGGTTTGGAGGTGAGTGCCTTTCCAGGCTTTTTTCCAGATCGTGGACGACATTTTTTTTGAACCTTGAGCACCACCTGCAGCCCCAAAGTCTACAACACTAGCGCTTGAAAGCAGAATGTAAACCCGATAGCCCAATAGACTAGTACAGAGGCCGTATTATGTTTTCATTTCCGTGGTCGAACCCTACACAAACCTAAACCTTAAGGCTTCCATTCGTCATATCAGCTTCAAAAACCCAAATACGACAAACCCTCAAACGGCCCTAAACCCTAAGAACCATATATACTATGGCTGCTGGAATGTTTCTTTTTTTCTGAAGGTACATCGGGACAAACGAACCATAATATGGGAAAAGGCCCTTCAGGACTCTCACACGCAACCGCAGGGTTCCAATTTCGGGCCTCAAAAAAGGGTCTCGGTGGGCTTTGTAAGCGTGTGGAAAGGCTGACGAGTTTTAATGGAAAGCTTACAGCATGGTTTTGTTTCGTAGGTTTTTTGGTAGGTGGAGTTTAAGAGGGAGCAGGGTTATAGCAAAAGTCATTCGCGGGATGGACCAATTGGGAATAGTTTGAACAAACTTCTTGGGGAAAACTTTGGCATTTCGACCCAGGTTCTCTCCCGTGGCGCCTCGCGACACAGTGAAGAGGCCGCGCCATGTCGAAATCTCTACATCACAGAAAACAATGTAGGTATATGTGTATATGCATCTATAGATACATACTGTGTATACATACAATCATACAAGAGGGTTTCAAGGAATTTCATGGGGTTTTCGAGGGCTTCTTCAAGGGGTGCCCGAATAGGGGATTGGTGGTTTGGAGTTGGTTCTGGTTGAAGACTAGGGGCCCGACGGACAGCACGGCGGCAGCTGCGGGTTGTAGAGTGTTGGATGGTGGGTAGAATAGGGTTGCTTTCAAGCAGGTTATATGGGCTTTATGGGTTTACTATCCTGTTCAAGGTAAGTCACATAAGGACATACAGCCGTGATTTTGGTCTCCTGATACCGTCGACCCGAACTGCAGCTCACACCACCAGGCTGCTTATCACGGATTGTAACTGGAACGGGGTCTTTGATCCGCGTACACGATCAGCCTTGGACCGTAATCCTTGACTGCTGCCGAAACACCTAAATTTTGTATCCCGGGCTCTTTAGTTTCTGAGGAAGTGTTTTTGCCGTTATGTTATACACCCAAGTGGGCCATCAATAATGTAGTCTTGATGACTGTGTGCAAAAGACTTGTGGAATCAGGTTCCCTAAACCCGATTTTTTCTAACGCTGGTAATTTGCGCTCCTGCCTTCGACTCCTACCCAAATCCGAAGCCCTAAATTTTAATATCCCCACACCTTGAGCCCAATCTGCGCCCTAGAGCCCCGTTTTGTCCTAAGCCCTCCCAGACGATTTTAGAATAAGAGGGCGTGGGACGCAGTTCTAGACCAACATGAGTTCGAAGTTATCCAGACATGAACCCAATGAACCCTTACTTTGCTTATCCCACATGCCGTAGATAGGTTTTACTCATCAACTCAGACAGGGGGGATTCCTTACTCAACATGAAACATGCAGGGAACCTTGGAGCAGCGGGCCATCGGCGAGAGAGTCGTCATCTGAGGAGTTCCCACCCCCCGGTATAAGTAGCGAGTGCGCCGCGGTCGTGGAATCCTCAATCGCCCTGCCATTTGTGTAGAAAATACCAAGACTTAGCAGAGTTGGTTTGTCGAACCGAACTTGCGCAGTTTCAGGATTCAGGGCTTGATTGAGATAGTCTTCAGGCGGGGCCATCGGAGTGTTCTTCCAATACACAGTGTTGAACAATCGGTAATAATGCACCCCTGAACAGAATGCTATATTATGCCCCCAAATCCTATTCTAACTATTTCTGCTCCTCCGTTGGGCCTCCGCACACGCCTACAGAAACTTGACTCCCCTGCATCCTAAACCTGTGCTTGGAGGTTCATGGGACTTAGTAACTAGGTTTTAGAGTTCCTGTTAAGGGTACTATAGGCTTCTATAATCGGGTTCTCTTAAGGGTTGAACGTCTAGGGTTTAGTAAAGGGTTCATGGGACCTAGTAACTATTAGGGTTTTCACAATTGGCAGCTGTACTTATAGTTACTAAAAACCCAATTAAGGTCCTTATTACTATACTTACTAAGTTCCATGATCCTGCAGGTAAGGTTTGGGGTTGAGGAACTGTAGGAATGACGATCCATGTGTCTATGGGGCCCTATTTGGTTTTATGGGATATTTTGGGCTAAGATCCCAGAAAACCTAATAGGGCGGATTGGCATAAAGTTGTATGACTCTCTGAGCCGTAAACTGGCGGTGCAACAGAAGGTATCATGAGGACATCACCGCCATGCCATCGTTTCTTCACTCACTCGCTCACTGACTCAGCCACGGTCTTCGAAGAAAGTCTTGCAGCTGGGACTTAGCCCCGGCGTGTTGGCCGCTGTTGGGCAGACCAGCCCCATCGTTTACTCAGCGATATGCACCCTTTGAATGGGCTTTTTTTGGTACTAAGTCAAGTCCAGGCCTAGCCGGGCCTGTCCATCCTAAACCCAAAACCCTAATCCCCAACTACGAGATCCAGGATCCGACACTCAAACTTCAACCTTCAATCCGAAAGCTGGAGAAGAGGCAGCCACCAGAGGAGTCTGCGACGTAGGATCGTTTCTCAAAGAGAACCCAGGCGATCATGGCCCAACTCTCGATTTGCAGCTTGCCAACCGTGGTCACTGGCTGGCAGAAGAGAGACCTGCGCGTTCCTGGTGCAAGAGACACACGAGATGCCGACAAGCCCAAAGCTGAGGACTAGAACACGAAGTAACTCGGAAACACAAAGCTGATAACTAGAACACGAAGTACTGCAACTCGCGTCATGCCTACACTGGTGGTAGGTTTGGGGGTTCTCGCACCGGCAGAACGTGCAGCGTACGAGCTCCACATGTTTCTGGAGCTATGTGCCCAGTGGAAGGTTTCTTGTGAAAAAAACTAGGGTTTACGACGATGGAAGGTAGTAGTTATTAGGTAGGTCGGAAACTAGGGCTTCACGGCCCAAATCCGGAATCCAAAACCTTGAATATCCGTTCAGGTTGCACTAATCCTTTCGATGACAAACTGTGCCAAGGATTCATTCTGGCGGTAATCGCACTGTTCCCTGTTCTGCCGAGATGAGTATTACGCATCGTTCTAGGTAATCTGTACTTTGCACAATTCAAGGTTGGTCGTGCGAAAATCCCAAACCATAAAATTTCACCAGCAGAGACAAATGACGATTGAGCTGGGCCGGAGGGTGGATTCTATTTATTTACTACTAACTACACGGTAAAACACAGAAGTGTTACAAGACTGCTGTTGAGCTGTTGCTATGATTCCTTCCTTATGGTTGCATGCACATCAGCGTGACGCTGACGTTTTTGCTGATGCTAATTCAGCGACTGCGTATTCGGCATTGGCCTCAGGGCCCAGCTAAGGCGCTGAATTAAGGGTTGGTTTTGAGTTTCCCGAAAGCCTCAAACAACTAAAACCATAAACCTTAAGTCCCACTGCCCCATGCTCTAAACTCTGAACTTTTGGTTTAGAAACCTT